TTTTTTAATTTTTTTTTTTTTTTTTTAAGGCAGTCTCACTTTGTAGTTCAGGCAGCCTCCCAAGTCTGCCTCAGCCTCCTGAGTGCTGGGATTACAGGTGTGTGCCACCACACCCAGCTTAGAAGGTTTTAGTAGTTCACCTAAAGAGTAAGGGGGTTTTTTTGTACCAAGAATCGAACTCAGGACCTTGCACTTTCAAGGCAGGCTTGGTGCCACTGAACTAATCCCCAGACCAAGAGTAAGACTTTTTTGATTGCCTTTTTTTTTTTGATACTGGGGATCGAACTCTGGACCTTGGGCTTTCGAGGCAGGTGACTTGGCACTGAGCTAAATCCCCACGAGAGTAAGACTTTAACAGGAAAGAATTAGGCAGTAATTTGGTAAGATTCCTGACAATGCATGGTCTTGTTTATATCTTCAGTGCATTGAGACAGTATGCTGGAGAGCTGTGGAGGGTGAGCATTAGTACCTGGAAATTTCAGTTAGAATTAAAAGGTTATGATCATAGCATTTGATAGTCAAATGCAAAGCTTTTCAGTTTTTTTTCTGGGTTTTTTTTTTTTTTTGGTACTGGGAATCGAACTTGGAACCTTGCACTTGCTGGGCAGGCCCTGGAACCACTGAGATAAATCCCCGGCCCAGCTTTTCAAGTTTTTCAATTTTCATTTGTGGATTAATTCCACCAGTTAAGAGTTGATTAAACTTCACTTCCTGTATGTTTTTAAAAATCATAGTATAGCATATGCTTTTTCATCCGTAGCCTCTTCCTTCCTCTTAAATAATAATAAATGATTACATTTACTGAGCTCTTACTGTGTCCCAGATACTGTGTTAGGCACTGTCCATTTACTGGTTTTTCTTGACAGCTGACAGCTTTGGGTGTTGAGAACAATGAAATGGATGTTTTAAAGGTGAGGGAGTGGTGATGCAGAGAGGTCAGAAACAGGGGAAGTGGCCAAGCCAGGATCTTAACTCAGCCAATTGGGTTTCAGAGACTCTTAATCCTATACTTCAGCTGTCTCTGGTCTAGGAATAGGGAACAAGGAAAAACCATTTTGCTTTTAAAAATTTTTAAATTATGGTAAAATATGCTTAACAAAATTTACCATTTTGATTATTTTTATTTTGTTTTGTTTTTTTGGTACTGGGGATCGAACTTGGGTCCTTGCGCTTGTGCAGCAGGCAGCGAAACCACTGAGCTAAATCCCCGGCCCCATTTTGATTATTTTTAAAGGTATAGTTCAGCAACATTAAGTACATTCAGTTGTGGGGGGGGGCAGTCCTAGGGATTGAACCCAGGACCTTTGCACTGAACTTCATCTCTACCCTCTTTTAATTTTTATTTTGAGACAGTTTTGCTAAGCCATTGAGTTGCCCAAGCTGAACTCAAACTTAGAATCTTCCTCAGTCTAAGAGTGCTGAAGTTACATACCTGCTTAAATAGCTGAGTCAACACAGGAAGTCGTTCTCCAAGAGGTTTACACTCACATAAGGAAAGGCAAGTAGACACATGATTTTACTGCGTATCTGTAAGGCATGGGTTCCATAAGAATCAAGTACAAGCAAGCATGGTGGTGCACACCTATAATTCCACTAGTCTGGGAGGCTAAGGCAGGAGGATCACAAGTTCAAGGCTAGCCTGGGCAATTTATCCAGACCTTGTCTCAAAAAAGGCCAGGGACATTGTCCAGTGGTAGGGTCCCTGAGTTCAATCCCAGTATCACACAGACACACAAAAAGATTATTAAAAAATAGGTCGTGGAGTCATTCTTAGGACAGGTAAACCGAGCATGGTAGTGCATGCTTGTAATCTCAGCACTCTGGGTGGCTGAGACAGGAA